CATTCTCACACTCTGCTGCGCTGTGGGGATTTAGTGTAACACATTCTCACACTCTGCTGCGCTGTGGGGATTTACTGTAACACATTCTCTCACTCTGCTGGGCTGTGGGGATTTAGTGTAACACATTCTCACACTCTGCTGGGCTGTGGGGATTTAGTGTACACAAATTCTCTCACTGTGCTGGGCTGGCAGCTGCTGTCTGCTGGAAAGACCTGTCCCAGACCCCTGGTGGTCTCGGCAAGGATGGCCAGTTCTGTCCTGTACCCTGGCAACGTGTTCCCCAGTACCAGCCGAGCTCATCCCCGGGAGGAGCAGGGACAAGCCAAGAGAAGAGAGTTTGTCCGCTCTCCTCTACAGTGTCAAAAAGTAGCAGTGGAGTCTGGTGTATCCCTCCCTCAGCAGCTCCCACTACCAGCTGCTGATCGCTGTGCAGGACGGTGAAGGGCTATTATGGGAAACAAACTGTATTCGCTTGCAAACTCTGTACGGTCTAATACGTGGTAGTATCTCTTAAACCTGCAGCAAGTGTCCAAACTACTGGAAATAGCGAAGGAGAAACAAGCAGCAACCCTGAAGAGCTTAAAGGAGTCCAACGAAAGGTGAGGACTCACTGAGGAAAAAAAACTGGGCTCTCATCTACCAGAAAAGAGCCGAGACTCCCAGCAGGGATAAGGGGGGAGGGGGGTTAGATTAGATTAGATTCAGATTTATTGTTGTATGTACATAAAAATACAGTGAAAAGTGTGTTATGTGCAAAGTGCCACCATGTTCCTGCGCTATCTTGATACACTGAATATAATGCAAGGTTTTACGACAATAGAGTTAATCTTTCCCCCTTCTTCTGATTCCTCCTCCAGTCACTGCTTGGCATCGGCCAGGGTCTCTGAAATGGGGTCCGATGTCTTAGTTATGGGCCTCCGCCAATCTGCTGTGCCCCTCTCTCTCTCCCTGTCCCCCATCAGGGACAGACCCTGCTCCAGAGTGCTGACAGGGGCAGCATGGCTGCTCTGGGGAGGCCCTGGTGATCTACCTGGCAAGAGGAGCTGAATGATATGTCTCACTCAGTAACGTCCAAGCTGATTCTGTCTCACTCCCCACTTATACTGGGCTCCACGCGGCCTGGGACCTACTGCTGTTGCACTTCCTTCCCATTTGGGTCCCAGTGTCCCTGGTGTTCATGATAACGGGGAACGGTCCGGCAATTCGGCAGTGTCACCGGACCTGTGACACAGAGGGCCAGACTAAAGCTTAGAGAGCAGGAGTCAAATCCTGTGGTGGCAGCTGGAGAACTTTAAATTAAGTCTGTTAAATAAATCTGTAAATGCGTAAGGCGGTCTCAACAACGAAGTTACTCTGGTTTCTGCAGAAAAAAAAACCCACCCGGCCTGGTTGGGCTATCCTCACCAGGCAAGGACATCCACCAGCCCTACCTGGTCTGCTCTACACTTGACTCCAGACCCCAGCTAAACCCACTCGGAACAGGGCAGTCAGGGTGTGCAGGGAAGACTGGCCTTGCTAGTGATGTCCCAGGTATGAAAGAGGACATGATTCCCAGGGCTAGCTGAACGTGGACGCCCAGCAGTTCTTGGACCCAGGAATGGGTGGGTTGTGAGTCACTGGGGTGACTCCTGCCGCCTGCCCGCAGCATTGATTCCTCCAGACGGCAGCGTTTCACTCAAAGGTCGTACTGAATCACAGAATGCTTACGGTGCGGGAGGAGGCCATTCTGCCCGTACTGGTTCTTTAAGCCAGTGTCATTAACTCCTGCTTTTCTCCCCCATACCCTTGCACAATATTTCTATCCAAATAACCGTCCTCTCGAACGCCCCATTTTGGCATGCCTCCACCACGTTTCCACACAGTGCATTCCATACCCCTAACTACTCGCTGGGTGAAAAACGTGGCTACTTTTGCAGATCACTTTAAATCCGTGCCCTCTCGTTCTTATTCCTTTTTTACGAGCAGCAAGGGTTTCTCCCTATCTACTCCTACCAGCCTATTCATTAGAATCGCAGAATCCCTACAGTGTGGGAGGAGGCCATTCAACCCATCGAGTCCACACTGATCCTCTGAAGAGCAGCCCACCCAGACCCACCACCCCCCTACCCTGTCTCTGTAACCCTGCATTTCACATGACCAATCCACCTAGCCTGCACATCTTTGGACTGTGGGAGGAAACTGGAGCACCCGGAGGAAACCCACGCAGACACGGGGAGAATGTGCAAACTCCACACAGTCACCCAAGGGTGGAATCAAACCTGGGTCCCTGGCGCTGTGAGGCAGCGGTGCTAGCCAGAGTCACTGTGCCGTCCCTTTATTAGTTTAAAAACCTTTTATCAGACCTCCTCGCACCCTTTTTCTCTCCAAGGAGAATATTACTAACTTCTTCGATCTCTCCTGGAAACTGAGGTTCCTCATCTCTGGAGCTATTCCTGTCCAAGGAGCTGCCCCTTCACTCCTAGATGTCCACACTCTATTTTTAAGACACTGTGCCCTTTCTTCATTGTTGTGCCAATCAGAGGAAGCAATTTCTCCGTATTTATCCTGTTAAATCCTTTCCTTGTTTTTAATACCTTGGTCACATCAGCTCTCACTCTTAAAGACAAGGGACTGATGTCTCATCTATGCAGCCTGTTGAATCCACACCGCACTTTCACCAAGTACCTGTACAACCTGGAACTGTGGGCCCAGAACTGAACAGAGGAACACATACAGCTATAACATTACCTCCCACTCTTTTGTGATAATCCAGCCCTTTCAAGATAGGGGCTGAATGCCATTAAACTTGTCAATTACATTTTTGTGGATTTTGCTGAATGACATTCTTTTCATTATTCATTCATGGGACATAGACACTGCTAGCAAGGCCAATGTTTTTTTGCCGGTCACCAATTGGTCTTGAAATGAGTGACTTGTTAATCCATTTCAGAGGGCAGTTAGGAGTCACATGTAGGCCAGACTGGGTAAGGATGCCAGATTGCCCCTGCTTAAAAGGACATTAGTGAAACCTGATGGGTCTTTGCAATAACTGATGATTGGAGTCTCCAGCACTGAGACTGGTTCCAGATTTATTCATTGAATTTCATTTCTGTGGTGGGATTTGAACCCGTGTTCCCAGAGCATATTACACACAAAAACAGAAATTACTGGAAAAGCTCAGCAGGTCTGCTGGCAGCATCTGCAGAGAGAAATCGGAGTTAACATTTCGGGTCTGATGACCCTTCCTCATACCCCAGACTCGAAACGTTAACTCCGATTTCTCTCCACAGATGCTGCTGGACCTGCTGAGCTTTTCCAGCAATTTCTCTTTTTGTTTCTGATTTACAGCATCCACAGTTCATTCAGTTTTCCCTGGGTCACTGGAGTGTGAGTCCAGTCTGTATTTTTATCTCAGATGACCATGCCTGGTACCTCATGTGCGTGATATTCAGTATGTGATTTTTTTTTTGAGGTAGGTCACAAACGGAATATTACCCTTCATTGCTCGAGGGATGGAGTTTAAAAATAGGGAGGTTATGCTGCAGCTGTATAGGGTGCTGGTGAGGCCACACCTGGAGTACTGTGCGCAGTTTTGGTCTCCTTACTTGAGAAAGGATGTACTGGCACAGAATGGGGTGCAGAAGAGGTTCACTGGGTTGATTCCAGAATTGAAAAGTTTGCCTTATGAGGAGAGATTGAGTAGACTGAGACTATACTCATTGGAATTTAGAAGAATGAGGGGTGATCTTATAGAAACATATAAAATTATGAAGGAAATAGATAAGAGAGAAGCAGGGAGGTTGTTTCCACTGGCGGTTGAAACTAGAACAAGGGGGCATAGCCTCAAAATAAGGGGGAGCAGATTTAGGACTGAGCTGAGGAGGAACTACTTCTCCCAAAGGGTTTTGAATCTGTGGAATTCCCTGCCCAGTGAAGCAGTTGAGGCGACCTGGTTGAATGTTTTTAAGGCATATATTTTTGATAGATTTTTGAACAGTAAGGGAATTGAGGATTATGATGAGTGGGTGGGTAAGCGGAGCTGAGTCCACGAAAAAGATCAGCCATGATCTTATTGAATGGCGGAGCCGGCTTGATGGACCTACTCTTGCTCCTATTTGTTATGTCCTTACGTTCACTGCTACCAATTCTCCTTTGTCTTCGGCCTATCTAATGATTAGAGATCAAAGATACACCCTGTAGAGTGTTTACAGAAGAGCCACTGTCCTGAGATAACAAGAAGGTTTCTTGCATGAGAGCATTTGGTCAGACCCTTAGGGAGCTGGTGAAATCTCATGAGGAAATTCCTCAATACAGACAGTGTGTGACCTCAGTCAATGGAGTGCAGCCAATGTAACATGAACATTAACCCCCTTCAGACTTTATTCAACATCTATCCCCACCAAGCTTTTTTCCCCATAATCCATGACACAATGGTGTAAATAGCTACTTACCTCCCCCCCCCATCTGCTCCCAAAGTCTCTGCCTTTGCAAATTCTGGACACTTCCCACTTCTCTCATATTGCACTCTTTATAGACTTGGAAGAAGAGTCAGCTTTGACTTATGGCGCACTACCCCATTGGGTAATAAAAATGCCACTGGGGTAGGAGAGTCCATGTGTTTAACAGTGCTGCTCAGCCTATGGCATTCCGAGAGATCTCTGCAGCTATTCACTACAAACCAATCTTTTCTTTTAGTGAAATGAAAGAAGTGAAGAAAAAGATTGAGCTGAAGCGACAGGAGAAGATTGAGAACATGCTGAAAAGCACGGTGGATAAGAGTGTCCAGGAGAAGTGAGTAATCAGCATTCACCCTTGCTCTGTGATGATAAACTGCCTGGATTTATAAGTAACTCCTTAATCACTGGGCAACAGTGTGTTGAAGCTGTCCTGCAAAACCACTCCTGCAGTAACACAGCAGCGTTAGGAGATAGTAAGAACTGCCGATGCTGGAGTCGGAGATAACACAGTGTGGAGCTGGAGGAACACAGCAGGCCAGGAAGCATCAGAGGAGCAGGGAAGCTGACGTTTCGGGTTGGGACCCTTCTTCAGAGTCCCGACCTGAAACGTCAGCTTTCCCGCTCCTCTGATGCTGCCTGGCCTGCTGTGTTCCTCCAGCTCCACGCTGGGTTATCAGCGTTAGGGGATGTTCAGTTTGGAAGGTCTAGGTAACCAGTATCTGCCATTATTCAACATAGCTGGTGTGTGCCCAGGGCTGGTCTGCAAGTGAACTGAGCGCTGTGGGATGTCACGCCCCCTTGGTATTATTGTATTAGCTGCTTGGGTACCTGGGAAAACCACACAAAAACACACCAGCGATTAGATCTGTATGTGGCTGTGTCGGTAGTGGAAACACAGAGTGAGAGAGACAGAGGAGTATGGGAGGAGTCATAGCTGACCTGTTGTCAACAAACCTGGAATACTGTGGCCACTTTGATCTCCTTATCGGAGGAAGGATGTTCTGGCTAGGGAGGGAGTGCAGCAAAGGTATACCAGACTGATTCCTGGAATAGCAGGACTGATGTTCATGAAGAGCGACTGGATCAATTAGGATTGTACTTGTTGAAGTTTAGAAGAATGAGGAGGCAATCTCATAGAAATCTCATATAAAATTCTAACAGAACTGGACAGGATAAACGCAGGAAGGATGTTTCCGGTGACTGGCAAGGCCAGAGCAAGGGGTCACAGTCTAAGGATACAGGGGTAGGCCATTTAGGACTGAGATGCCACCGAAAGCAGTTGAGGCCAAAGCATTGGATGTTTTCAGGAGGGATTTAGATATAATCCTTAGGGACAAAATAATCAAAGGGAAAGGGTGCTGAGTCGGATGATCAGCCGTGATCATATTGAATGGGGGAGCAGGCTCAAAGAGCTGAATGGCCTACCGCTGCTCCTGTTTTCCACATTTCTATGGCTCTCTTTAAAGCTCGCCCATCTGCTAAGAGAGGTACATGGTGGACAGCTGACCCAACAATAGCCTGTGAAGGGTGGGTTGGGTGGGCCTGTACAGCAATGTTTCCCAATGGGTTTCCCACTGTGAGCCCCATTTTGAGACATGGACCCCTCAGTGAGAGCTGCAAGAGCAATGACCTGTTAGAGTGGGCGCCAGGCCATTGTAAATTGGTTGGAAACCCGTTGGTGCTCATTCTGGCCTCGGATTTTGCAACCCCGAAATTTTAGCTGTGGGGTCCTGCCCTATAGTAAGGAGAGATGGTTCCTCTGGCTTGGGAATTTACAACCAGGAGGCACAGCCTGGGAATAAAAGGGCAGCTACCTAGGACTGAGATAGGGAGAAATTCCTTTATACACAGGGTTGTGGATCTACCCCAAGGAGCAGTCGATACTCACTCGTTGAGTATATTCATGGAAGAGGTTGATAGGTACGGTAGGTGTGAGACAATTTCAAGAGAGTGCAAGAACCTGGAGCTGTTTTGGTGCGGCGCGGTGGCTCAGTGGTTAGCACTGCTGCCTCACAGAACCGGGGACCCGGGTTCGAATCCACCCTCGGGCGACTGTCTGTGTGGAGCTTGCACATTCTCCCTGTGTCTGCGTGGGTTTCCTCCCACAGTCCAAAGATGTGCAGGCTAGGTGGATTAGCCATGGGAAATGCAGGGTTACAGGCAATGGGTAAAGTGGGTGGGGTGTGCCTGGGTGGGATGCTGTTCGGAGGGCTGGTGCGGACCTGATGGGCCAAATGGCCTGCTTAGACACAGTGATCTTACTGAATGGAGCTGTGACTGTGGAATGCATTGCAGTCCCAGATGACCAACCATCTAATCATCTGCAGCTTGACCACTTTCAACTCAGAGTTGCTGAACTCGAGGCACAGTTGCAGATGTTGTCAGGCAAGGGCAGGGGGAAATTGCCTGGGCACTTTCCTCCTGGAGGCAGTTACACCCCTTCACTTCAGCAAAACCTTCTGCCTAGACTATCCCAAGGACTGACCTATGGATGAGCAGACCGACCGTAGAACCATGGTGCAGGATGCCATTCAAGTGGGTATGGGAAGGAAGGCCAAACAGGAATGTGCTAGAGAGAGGGGGGTCAGTGTAATCAAGGAGATAGAAACTGTTCTCTAGATACACCAGAGCTCCAAATGTATTGTTGCTTGTCTGGTGCCAGTGTTAAGGATATCTCTTTGTAGCTGGAGTTGAAATGATAGAAATCCTAGAATCCCTACAGTGTGGAAACAGGCTATTCAGCCCATCAAGTCCACATCCCCCCCACCCTATCCAAGTAAACTTGCATTACCCTTAGCTAACTCACCTAGCCTGCACGTCCCTGGACACTATGGGATAATTTAGCATGGCCAAACCTCCTAACCTGCACGTCTTTGGACAGTGGGAGGAAACCGGAGCAAACCCACACAGACACAGGGGAGAATGTGCAAATTCTATGCAGACAGTCACCTAAGGCCGGAATTGAACCCCGATCCCTGGTGCTGTGAGGTAGCAGTGCTAACTGCTGAGCCACCGTGCCTTGGATCCTGGAACCTGGAACTTGGAATGGGAAGGAAAGGACCCCATTGTCATCAGTTTACTTGGGATCCAGCAGCAGATATAGAACTAGAAATGATGTTCTCTTGGGAGAGTTTGAGGATTCGGGGTCTAAGTTAAAAGGTTAATAACTGAGCCATGTGCTAATTAGCAGAGGGTCAACTGGTTTAGATTAGTAAATGCATGACCCACTGGGCAGAAGGGGTTTTGTTTACTGATAACACAGTGTGGAGCTGGAGGAACACAGCAGGCCAGGCAGCATCAGAGGAACAGGAAAGGTGACGTTTCGGGTGGGGACCAAACATCAGCTTTCCTGCTCCTCTGATGCTGCCCGGCCTGCTGTGTTCCTCCAGCTCCACACTGTGTTATTTCTGACTCCAGCATTGGCAGTTCTTACTATCTTTCATTTTGTTTAATGAGGCAGTCACTGGTACAAAGGAAGCTTGGCCTGTATTACTGGAATGGGGTTTACTTAAATGAGGCTGAGGCTAGTGCCACACAAATATACAAACAAGGAGGAGGAGACTTGGTGAATCATATAACTAGGACTGTGCATAGAGATTCTAACAGCGGGGGATTGGTTTCAGTAAATAGAAAAACAAATGCAAAAGAAAAAAAGTATAGACAACAGAAGAATGTTGGTAAAGACAAGCAGGGACAGATAGGGGCAGAATGTTCAACAGTAATACCTTATGAGCAATGAAGGTTCACGCAAAGAATAGTAAGTTAAAAAAATAGCTTTTTATGTGACTGTATAAAGTACCCACTATAAGACGAGTGCAGATAAACAGTTTAGATTCAATCACCATTACATGGACATAGTTACAACATACCCAAGGCTGGAAAATAATTCTTCCAGAGGACACACTGTTTCAAAAACACAGACAGAACGGAAAAGGAGTAGCAGTAGCCCTGATAAAGAGCACTCTTACTTAAAGTTGGGATTTTGTTCCATTTACCAGGATGGAGGCTTTGAGTTATAAAAGTAGGCTGGGACTTTTTTTACTGGAGTGTAGGAGGTTGAGGGGGTGACCTTATAGAGGTGTATAAAATCATGAAGCGCATTGCTAAGGTGAATAGCCATGATCTTTTCCCTAAAGTGGGGAATTAAAAGCAAGGGGGCATATTTTTAAGGTGAGAGGAGAAAGATTTAAAAAGGGCATGAGGGGCAACTTTTGTTTTTACACAGAGTGGTTTGTGTGTGGAATGAACTGCCAGAGGAAGTGGTGGATGCGGATACAGTTACAATGTTTAAAAGGCATTTAGACAAGTACATGAAAAGGAAAGATTTGGAGGGATATGGGACAAGCACAGGCAAGTGGGACTAGTTTAGTTTGGGAACATAGTCAGCATGGACTAGTCGGACCGAAGGGTCTGTTTCCGTGCTGTATGACTCTAAGACTCGATATTAGAAAAAAAGCATGATTTTCAATTAGAAACTTTAGGTGAAATGTGGTTTCCCATAAGAATCAATGTTAAAAACAGACATGTTCCCGATGACAATTGTTGTTGCCAAGAAAAAACAATGTAGAAGTTGAAATGCTGTGCCATACTGAGCATTTGTAATTAAAATAACTTGCTAAACTAAACAAGGAGAGCTTAAGTGAAGAAACCAAGCATTTTACAGCAGAGGCGTCTTTAAAGACACTTACTGTATGGTACAGTTCAAGTTATGATGTACCTGTTCATATAAAGTACTGTAGAGTACAGTGCAGCAGAAAATCTTAAAAAGTTCCTCTGCTGGTAAAGGTACAAACAGCAGTAAAAATTAAAAGCACATTTTAAAAACAAAGTTTCCTTAAGCAGCTGAGCAGACAGCTGTTTAAAACGGCACAGTGGCTCAGTGATTAGCACTGCTGCCTCACAGTGCCAGGGACGTGAGTTCGATTCCACCCTCGGGCGACTGTCTGTGTGGAGTTTGCACATTCTCCCCATGTCTATGTGGGTTTCCTCTGGGTGCTCCGGTTTCCTCCCACAGTTCAAAGATGTGCAAGTTAGGTGGATTGGTCGTGGTAAATGCGGGGCCAGGTTGGGGGCCTGGGTCTGGGTGGGATGATCTTCAGAGGATAGGTGCAGGCTTGATGGACTGAATGGTATCTTTCTGTGCTGTAGGAATTCTACGCAAACATGATGACATGGCAGAGACATGACAGTGCCAACTTTAGCAGGACAGTCAGGGCACCTCTCTGATGATGCAACTCATGAGATGACACAAGAGTCATTATGATGTGACAGGCTCAATGACATGACCAGGAAGTAAGGGCTGTTAAATTGGGGATTGTCACTCTACATGAGGAGTGAAGGCATTAAAGAAAAGGGACAACACTAAAGCAATAAAAAAACACTTTAAAAGAGGAAGCTTAAAATGAGGACTCCCTGTAATAAACAATGACATAAGGGCCCTAGTGAGAAAGGATCTTTACTCAGAATAACATGAAGTAGAATTACTATTTGAGGGGATTAGGAATAAAGACTGTCTGAAAAATAACTGGTGGGCGTAGTTTATGGGCCCTTTAACAGTCAACAGAACCTTAATCAAGAAACTAGTGGATCTTGTAACAAAGATCGTACACAGTGAGAGAGAAGCAGTGCAGCCTGGTCTGTTTACATTCCAATTCCAAGGTCATTCTGCTCACGGAGCACTGTGCTTCCTTCACAGGCGCAAGAAGGAGATCAATGAGCATCACATTCAGATGTCAGTGAAACTCTTCAAGCTGGTAGGTGGCATAGCGCAGAGAGGAGAGAGTTTGCCTCAACATCAACAAACCGACAAGAAGAGACAAACTATGAGAAAGTCCATTCAGCTCATTACTGTGCATTTGAAATGACTGTTTTCCAAGCAACAATTTCACTTTCTGGAACTAATAACTGCACTCTCTAGGCAAAATTCCCTCTCTACAAATAACAGCCCTACTCCCAAGAAACCAGACCCGCTCCCCAGACAACAGTCCCGCTCCATAAACAACAGTCCTGCTCTCCCCAAACAGCCCCGCTCCCATGCAACAGTTCCATTCCCCAAACAGTTTTGCTTCCCAAATTCCAATCCCACTCCTGCAAATGAAAAGCTCAGTTACCAGACAACTGTTCCACTTTGCTTTTGATATTTTCTTATTATTGCAGGCTTATGTGAATCAGTCGAATCTTGAGAGCAAGCTCGAAGAAAGGCACACAGAAAAATTAAAGGAAATTAAGGAAAAGGAAAAAGAGGTAATTGAGCTGGACCAGAACTATACAAGGCACGAGTCAGATCCCAGCTGGAATGCCGAGAACAGGGAAGTTATACTGGCATGGGAGTCAGTCCAGAGAAGGTTCACATGGCTGATCCTGGGCATGGAGGGGCTGTCTTGTGAGGAAAGCTTAAATAAGTCGAGTCTATATTCATTGGAAGAGTGAGAGGTGAACATTTTGAAACTTACGAGATTCTTAGGAGACTTGATAGGATAGATGTGGAAAGTTTGTTTCCCCATGTGGGAAAGTCCAGGATCAGAGGATACCATCTCAGAATAAGGGGTTGCAGAGACAGAGATAGGGAGGAATTTCTTCTCTGAGAGGGCAGTGAATCTTTATGCAAATTGCTGTTGAGGCTGAGTCATTAGGTATATTCAAGGCCGAGATAAACAAAAATTTTAATCAGGAAGGGGATCAAGGGAAAAGGCAGGTAAGTGGAGTTCACAATTATCAGAGGACCCATGATCGCATTGAATGGTGGAGGAGACATGATGGGCTGATTGGCCTACATCTTATCAGCTAAATTTGTTGATGATGCAACTATAGGTAGGAAAGTAAATTGTGAAAATGGCATAAGGAGACTACAAAGTGACATAGATAGATTAAGTGAGTGGGCAATGAGGATGTGGTAGATGAGGTACAATATGGGAAAATATGAAGTTGTTCATTTTGCCAGGAAGAATAAAGAGATGCATATTATCTACATGGTGAGAGGTTGCAGAGCTCTGAAATGCAGTGAGATATGCGATTCTTGTACCTGAATCACAAATGACTGGTACTGTATACAGGTAGATTAGGAAAGCTAATGGAATGTTACCATTTATTTAGGGGATTTCTTACAAGAGTAGGGAAGTTCTGCTTCTATCATACAGGGCATTGGTGATTCCATATCTAGAGTACCGTGTAAAGTACTGCCTCCTGATTTAAGGAAAGATGTAAATATGCAGAAAGCAATCCAGAGAAGATTACCAGACTAATACCTGGAATGGGAGGGTTGTCTTGTAAGATAAAGTTGAACAGGCTAGATTCCATCTGCTGGAGTTTAGAAGAGTAAAAGTTCAAGTTGATTGAAACATATATGGTATTCCTACTCCTAATTTGTATCTTTCCATGTCTGGGTTTAATTTCTCAACTGAAACACTGCATTTTTGCCAGTGCACCACTTCCTCAGGACTGGTGCAGAGAGAGCTGTCTAGCGCAACATTACCCAAATCAGTTTAATTGTTCCCTCAAGTACTTTCATAGACAGAATTCTTACTGTCTGTGATCAATATGATTGTATGTAAGAGGTATGTGTTCTTACCTTGGTATGCACACACCCCAATTAAATAAAAACAGAGTGCTGGATAGACTCAGCAGGTCTGGCAACTTGTGTGGAGAGAGAAATAGAGTTAACGTTTCGAGTTCTATAACTTTTCAATGGAAGAGGAGAGTCACTGGACTCAAAACATTTACTCTCCTTTCTCTCAGCAGATGCTGCCAGACCTGCTGTTTTTATTTCAGATCTCCAGCATCCTAATTAAGTAAATCTAACATCAACATTTGTGAGTTTCAATGCAAACAAAATTATTTAATTAGATCATACATACATACAATCCTTACAGTGTGGGAACAGGCCCTTCGGCCCAGCACGTCCACACCAACCCTCAGAGCATCCCACCTGGACCCAACCACATATGACCCACCTAAGCTGCACATCCCTGAACATTATGGGGCAATTTAGCATGGCCAATCCACCTAACCTGCACATCTTTGGACTGTGGGAGGAAACCGGAACATCTGGAGGAAACCCACACAGACACGGGGAGAATGTGCAAACTCTACACAGATGATTGCCCGAGGCTGGAATTGAACCAAGGTCCCTTGCACTGTGAGGCTACAGGGCTAACCACTGAGCCACTGTGCTACCACAAATGGCAGAATGTTTCACACGCACAGAATACAGAGAATAGCAATTTCATATTACAGTATATAATGAAGGGGAGGTAGGCCTATAGTTTCCGAGATGAAGTTCATGTTTTCTGGGTATTGTAAAGTGTTCTCAACAGGCTTGTAGTTGAATTTTGAGGAGGTTGGTTCTCAGGTAAACGCCAAATTGAAACAGGTTGGGGGAGCGGTTCTCTCTCTGTTGTGAACTCCTACTTTCGAGTACTGACCATTAATTCATTACCTTGACTGCTTAGATAACTTGCAGCTAGTTTGATGGCTTTTTGGTGGAATTCTGCCTGTAAGTAGCTTTTGCTGATTTCAAAAGCATATAACAAAGTCAATTCTCATCGGGTGAATTCCACAAGTTTGAAGTCTTTTCTGAATAAGCTTGGTGGGGTGGGGATTCGGGGGTGGAGATTGTGATTCAACATCCTGTATTCTGAGAGTTTTACCTTGACAGTTTGAGATAACCACTGTTTTTGTGTTTGAAAGACCCACTCAATGTGATAGTGGAGTCTTGGATTAGTTTCAGGAAAGGGCATCAATTCAGAATCAGCCTGGAAGATTCTTTATCTCTTCTTATGGCAAAAGAGCAGTTTCAATCCTCAAAAAAAAAGTCAGGTAACACTTAGGTGTCCATCTTTCCAGCCTTTTGTGTTCCATTGTAACAGTATGAAAATTAGTTTGAAGTTCAGAATATACTGGGGCATGACAGCATAGACTAGACTTGAAATGATTGAGGTGCCTCTATCATTAAAGGATTTTATATGCTAGTTAGAGCGAGACTATTTCCTCTGACCAGGCGAAGTCAGAACAAATGGACATAACCTTTAAATTTGGAGCTAGTCAGTTCAGGGGTCATATCAGGAAACGCCTCTACATGCAAACAGTTGTGGGAATCTCAAACTCTCTTCTCCAACAGCTGTCTTAAATCCTTTACTATGAGATTGTGCCTCCCGGTCTGAGATTCATGCCTTTGCTTCTGCAAGTGTGCCCTGAGCCTTTTCACAGAATGCCAGGATTGTTTTGGCGCAGAGAGAGGCCATTTGGCCCATCATGTCTGCACCGTTCTTTCAGTCCATGCTTATTCACAGTACGCGGAGCATGTAGGCGTGCAGTACGACTGTAAACGTGAGCAAATTGCTGCTCTGTTACCCTGAGGTTCACTTTCCCAATGCCAGAAGGCCTGTGGCATAGCTGCCCACTCACTGCTGCCAGAACCACCCTGAGCCAGTGCACAGTGTTAGGGGAGAAGACTCCTGTCTGAGCCACCATTCATCTGCTTTCCTCTCCTTGTTTTCCACCATGTTCAGTACCAGCAGGAGGTCCAGAACGAGTACGAGGCAAAAATGACAGCCTTGCCGCAGTTGGTGGAGGAACTGAGCAAGTCAATCATCAACAGCAAGTTCACCCCGGAGCTGGAGAGGATGCAGAGCCAAGAGAAAGATGTGAAGGAATCAAAGGCACTTGAACCATTGCCGCTCACGACAGAGAATCCATCGGAGAGTATAGCGAATGAAGTGGAGGACGCTCCGGAATACCTGATTGCTGTGCTATAACTAACCAATAACACTGGCAGTCCCTGGACCAGGGATGGTCTGTCCTTGTGCAACACTGACATCAGGCCGAGGTCAGCAGAGAGACAGGTTGAGGACTTTACACTGGTGCAAGGCAACACGTGCTCCCTCCATGGTTTACAGCTTGTTAACTGGTCTCACTTGTTAACGTGCACACATTGAGTCAGGGGTTGGCACCTGCTGTCTGATGGGTTGTCAGGAAAGTGCTTCCTCTCACAGTCCATCTACGGTTTTTTACAACATTCCCTGCTCTGTAGTTACAAGTAAGTAAGGACTTGCAATCGGTCAGCGAGTCCTTTTGTGACAGGGCACTCTGGTCTCCACTTCCCCTGTCACCGAGACATTTCCCCTACGAGCTTGGTGATATTAAAACATTGAAACCATGTGCATCCTGCCTGTTATCTCCTCTCTTCGCTTCGCCTCCGCCTTTTTATAACAGTAACAGGGGAAATAGAATCTCTTGGAGAGCTGCCACAGAGATGACAGTCCAAATGCTTGCTCCTGAGCTCCAACATGTCGGTGAAAGGCTGTCTTCTTTATGGGTTTGTTACACAGTCAGTTCCCTTAGAACCCTTAGCAATTCCCACCTGTTCTTGAAACATTCACCGTTGGAAGGGGGTTTTCTGCTCTGTTTACCCCAGCAGGGATATTTTCAGGTATTCGAGGTAAACGTTAATGTGCAGAAGGAGCAGCTCGATGGCTGATCTCACAGCAGAGTCCTTGGGGAGCGTGTGTGCATCACTGAGGGGATCTACTGGGACAGGGATGGCATGATCACTGTAGCAGGCAGCTGGCTAGAAGAAATGCTGGGCTCCACATAGATGCTGGGGAAGGGTTGAAGCCTTTGTAGAGCCACTAGTTATAAATAACCTTAATAACAGTACCTCTCTCTCTCTAACTCAGTTTGCTACAGTTCTCTGAAACTATTTGCTGTGGTTTGTGTGGATAATTGATTATAGTACGTTTACCAGCAGCTGGAATGAATAACACCTGCAGATGTTTTTGACAATAAACATAGTGTGACCATTCCCTTCTTCCGATGTATGTGTTTTGTTTTTATTATATGGGTGTATTTGCTGAGTTACCAGATTACCCATTGCAGTCTAGAATGTGCCTAACAAGGGGCAATATACCCTGGAAGCAGTGTACCGAGCTGGGGGACCAGGGAGCTGTCAGCCAATGCCAGCAGATCAAATGGTCTGAAACTTTGGTTCACCATTAACTGGAGTGAAGGCACAACCCTTTACAGCTGAGATGAGGAAGAATTTCTTCACCCAGAGGCTGGTGAGTCTGTGGAAGCCAATGCTACAGAGGGCTGGAGAGGCCAAGTCATTGAGTATCTTTAGAACAGAGATAGAAAGGTTCTTGATTGGTAAGGGGATCAAGGGGAAGGCAGGAGAACGAGGTTGAGATATGAGCCATGATTGAATAGTGGGGCAGACCCAATGGGCCAAATAGCCTAATGCTGCTCCCATGGTCTTATGGTACCTTGGCTCTGGGCTATTAGTGTCAACAGGGGTTTAAATCACAAGCGTGAATTGGAGATGTCAGTGACACCAGCAAGCATCCATCAATGGGGTTTATGGTTGGGTAGGTAGATGGTGGGAGGGGCAATGTTCCCTAATTATCAGTCTGAATCAGCCTTGGAGACTCCGTTCTGACCTTCCTGTGAGCTGGAACAAGCGGGGATGGTGGGACTGAAATTCATCCCAACCCCTTTGGTATTGTGAAATGCTACAAAAACAAAGTAGAGATTCGCAGAATTTACACTTCGAGTCCAGACGCTGCCAGACATGCTGAGTTTCTCCAGCAATTTCTGTTTTCTTTTCTGATTTCCACCATCTGCAGCTCTTTGTTTTCTGCCTGTTGTGAAGTAGTAGCTCGTCTCATACCGTGTGCAACGTCCTTTTCTATTGAAGACATGGAATCAGGCTGTTCAGTCTCTACCAGTCCACGTCACTTGAATGAAGAGAACTACTTTCACGCCAATGTCACACTGACGCTGAGGAACATTATAGATCTTTCCCCAGAGGAACTGATGTTATTTCCTCTCGGGTTGTGGCTGTCATTGCCAAGACCCATTTATCACATGGATTCCGCTGCTTTGAGTGACTAACACCTTCCAGAGTACACCATTCCAAAAAGGTGGGCTGGAGATAGCCAAGACCAGGGCATTGACACCAGTTATGTCTGGTGGGGAATCAGATTCATCTCTCCGAACAGCATTCTCAACCTGTGCAGCTACCACACCGCCGACTATGATACAGATCACACCCTAGTCCGCATCTGGGCTAGGATGCAATGTTTCAACCTTTTACAACCAAAACAGAAAAGGTATCTTTGTATCAATGTCAGCCATACTGCCTACTCTGGTTAAACAACAACAGTCATAGGAAGTTAGAGCCCTCAATGTTCCGTATTATACAAGAATTTTAGGAGATCAGCTAACACAGCAGCGATTTATCTTCCTTTGAGAAAGTTCCTAAACAGTCAACATTTCTAAAGAATTCCCGGAAACATCAGGGTGCCTTGGTTCAGGCTTCCATGTTCACTTAGCAGGTAGGATAGCACTTTGTGTGTACTCCCTTTATCAGTACTAGTGTTTAGAAATGGCTAGGAACTGACCCTCGGCAGGATGTACACTAAAAATCTCAAGCTGGGAAATGAACAGACAGAAAGTTGACCATTCTGGCATCTTGGGTACCTGTCCTGTACTCATTGGTTAGAAAATTCAAACACATTGTGCAAACTTCGAAACCCTAAAATTAAGCTATATTTATTAACAGCTCCTCATTAGGAGGCAGTTGGATAGTTTATCAGACAGAAGATGGACCCTGGAAGATGTTGGAGGTTCCAGGGAAGAGTCTCCTAACACTTTGGCTAAGGAACAGGATGCTCTATCTATGACTTACTCAGATCAAAACACATACTTCGTTTCATCCTCTGGTATCAGTGAACTGCTCTCAACTATCATGGGTTGAAATCTCCTCCTGTATGTTTAACTAATGTATCATATCTAAACGGCCACTACTTAACAAACCAGCATAAAATTACTTAAATAGTCGACTGTCAGTCTTCGGTAACTGACTCCAAAATCTTACGCAGTCAAGCAGCTCGGTGGAACAAGTAATCTCTGGCATTGCCATGAGTACAGAAGCAAAATGGGCACCATCTACGAGACCATACTCTCAACAAATGGGAAACAACATTCCCTTAGAAATTCCCTAAACACCATTCTCTCTGAATAAAGACCAACATTCCACTTGCATTCCCTATTGCGCATTCCTCTCTTTTTGAGGTTTATGCACAAGGATATTTCAAAGTCCTCTGTGTTGCAGCTTTCCAAGCTCCTCCTCCATTTGTAATCAATTACTGTATGCTTCCCGCCAAATCCTCACTTTTTCCCACATTATATTCCATCTGCCAAGTTTTGTCCCACTTGATTAATGTGTGTATATCCCTCCTTAGAACCTGTGTGTCATCTTTGCCAGTTGGCTTTCCACCTATTTTTGTATTTTTTTAATTCACTCACAGGATGAGGATCATCGCTGGCTGGGCACCATTTATTGCCCATCCCAAATTGCCAAGAGGGCAGTTAAGAGTCAACCACATTGCTGTGGGTCTGGAGTCACATGTAGGCCAGGTCAGGTAAGGATGGCAGATTTCCTTCTCTTAAAGGGCATTAGTGAACCAGATGGGTTTTTCCAACAATCAGCAATGGATTCATCATGGCTAAAGTACATTCACTTCCCTCATCCAGGTTATTATGTCTCTCGTGACCCAGCATCGATCCCTGTGGTAATCCATTACAGGTTGCCATGCTGAAAATGCCCCTCTATCACAAATCTGTCTTCACTGAGTGAGCCAATCCTCTCTGATGAGCACTTCCTGTGACCCACCTGCCCACTCTAGCCTCCTTCTTCACTGACACCCCATTCCCCACCCTTCTGCCTCCCTTTCCCATTCCTCCTCCCATTCTCCCCCATGTCTCTCTCTCTCTCTCACTCTCCTTCACTCAGACATTCCCTCCATCCCTCCTTCCTATGGGGGTGTGGGATGAGGGGAGAAGGCTAACCCAGGGGAGTGGGCAAAGCTGGGTGGTATTAAAGATCAACAAGGTCATCTTTGCGTTGAACCTCATGATATAGGAGAGGTATTAAATCAATATTTTGTGTCAGGTTTTACTGTTGAAAGAGAAATGGAGACTAAAGAACTCAGGGAGATAAACATTGATGTTTTGAAAACAGTTCACATTACAGAAGAGAAAGTCCTGTAGGTCTTATAAAACATAAAGGTAGCTGAATCTCAGATTTTGATTGAGTGTATCCCAGGGTGTTGTGGAAAGTTAGAGAGGAAATTGTGGGGCCTGTGGCAGAATTATTTGTATCATCTATAAATATGGATGAAGTACTGGAGGGTGGTGAATGATGTGCCATTCTTTAAGAAATGCTGTAAGGAGAAGCCTGGAAACTATAGACTTGTGAGTCTGACATCAGTTGGAGGTGATTCTTAAAGAAAGGATTTACATGCATTTAGAGAGGCAAGGGTTGATCGGAAATAGTCAGCAATGGCTTGTGCGAGGAAAATCATCTCTCACAAACTTGATTAAGTTTTCTTGAAATGAAGTAACCAAGATGATTAATGAGGGCAGAGTGGTAGAAGCTGTTTACTTGGACATTAGTAAAGCCTTTGACAAGGTTCTGCATGGTAGAATAATTAGTAAAGTTAGATCACATGGGATTCAGGGTGAGCATGCCAATTGGATTCAAAATTGGCTTGACGGTAGGAGACAGAGGGTGGTAGTGGAGGGTTGTTTTTTTAGATTGGAGTCCTGTGACCAGTAGTGTTCCACAGGGATCGGTACTGGATCTAAGACAACAAGGTGCAGGGCTGGATGAACACAGCAGGCCAAGCAGCATCATAGGAGCAGAGAGGCTGACGTTTCGGGCCTAGACCCTTCATCAGAAAAGGGGGAGGGGAAGGGGGTTTTGAAATAAATAGGGAGAGAGTGGGAGGCGGATCCGCCTCCACCCGAGTCTTCACCATCCCCCCAGACCTACCCCTTACTGAGGACGAACGGTCAGTCCTCAGTAAAGGGCTCACCTTTGTCCCCCTCCACCCACAGATCAACGAATACCGCTCACGCTTGGACATAGAGCAGTTTTTCCGCCGCCTCCGCCTCCACCTCTCCTCTATCCCTCTTCTATCCGCCTCCCACTCTCTCCCTATTTATTTCAAAACCCCCTTCCCCTCCCCCTTTTCTGATGAAGGGTCTAGGCCCGAAACGTCAGCCTCTCTGCTCCTATGATGCTGCTTGGCCTGCTGTGTTCATCCAGCCCTGCACCTTGTTGTCTCGGATTCTCCAGCATCTGCAGTTCCTACTATCTCTGGTACTGGATCTACTTTTGTTTGTCATTTATATAAATGATTTGGATGAGAATGTAGGAGGCATGATAACACCAAAGTTAGTGGTGTAGCAGACAGTGAAGAAGGTTATCTAAGAGATATTGATCAATTGGGTCAATGGGCTGAAAATGGCAGATGGAGGTTAATTTGGATAAAATGTGAGGTATTGCATTTGGTAATACAAACAAGGATAGGACTAATACAATTAGTGGTAGGATCCTGGTAGAATGGACAGACCTAGGGATTCAGCAACATAATTCTTTAAAATTTGTGTTACAGGTAGACAGAGTGGTTAAAAAGGCGTTTAGCTCACTTACCTTCATTGCTCAGACCTTTGAGTATAGAAGTTGAAACATTATGTTGATGTTGTACTGGACTTTGGTGAGACTTCTGGAGTACTGTGTACTGTTCAGCCACCTTGTTCTAGGAAGGATATCATTAATCTGGTCAGGATTCAGAAACGATTTACCAGGATGTTGTCAGGAGTGGAGAGTTGGAGATATAAAAATAGACTGGAACTTTTTTCACTGGAGCATAGGAGGTTGAGGACCGACCTTATTGAGGTTTATAAAATCACGAGGGGTACAGATAAGGTGAAGGACAAGGGTAAGTTCCCTGGCTTAGGGGAGTTTAAAACTAGGGGACATATTTTTAAGGTGAGAGGAGATAGAGTGGAAAAGGATATGAGGGGCAACTTTTTGTTTACACAGAGTGGACCCTGTGTGGAATGAACTACCAGAGAAAGTGGTGGACTGCAGGTATAGAGATTTGGATAAGTTAATGAATGAGAAAAGTTTGGAGAGATGTGGGTCATGTGCAGGTAGATGGGAGTAGTTTAGTTTGGAGAGGTCAGGGCCGGTGGCGGGAAGGGCGGGGAAACAATGGCCAGTAGGCGGAGCCTAGGCCGGCGACACGCAGGGGGTGGGGCGGAAACTATGCGAGTAGGCGGGGCATAGGGCGGGGCCAATAGGAAGCGGCTGGCCCCGCTGTCTGGGGGAAATAGGTCCCAGCGAGTGGGCGGGGCTCAGCGCGGGTGGGCGGTATAGAGGGCGGGGTTTAGGCTGAGTAGGCGGGACATCGGCGTTGGTTGGGGCGGGGTCTGGATGGACGGGGCTCGGGCATAACAGAAGAGGTGGAGCGTGAGTGGGCGGGGTCCGTGCTTGTGGGCGGAGCTCGGGTCTAGTGGGCGGAGCCGGGTAGCGGGGACAGTTGATGTGGATGAGGCCTGCGTATTGTTGGGCACGGCCATGGGCGGGCTAAGGGAAAGGGGGTCGGCCTAGCCCGGTGTTCCGTGCTGCTGCCAGGCGAACACGGGTGTGCGTTGTGTCAGTGAAGTATAGACCGGGTCGGGGTGAGGCACCATGTTCAGCTGGCTGTCCGGGCCTGAGGCCTGCGGGAAGGACTCCACGGTGTTTAGCACCGTGTCTGAGGGCCTGCGCTCCCTGTACAACAAGAGACTGCTCCCGCTGGAGGATTATTACCAGTTCCATCACTTCCACTCGCCCGCCCTGGAGCAGGCCGACTTCGAGAACAAGCCCATGGTGCTGCTGATCGGCCAGTACTCCACCGGCAAGACCACCTTCATCAGGTAAATGCAAACCGATAACTACTAAACATCAGGTAAACAACTAGGATTGCAACTGCTCTCCATTAGTGGGGAGAGGAACAGAGCTAATGTTAGCTGTACCTTCCTATCAGAACTGCAGATAGTCGGCCGTGAAATAAGGGAAAAGGTTGGCAGCTGGCAAAAAGATCTGAAATTGAAAAAGTCTGTGATCAAATTTTAAATGTTGTAATTGTACAGGCCAGAGCAAGTGGTGGAGCCTGGTACAATTACAACATTTAAAAGGCGTCAGGATGGTTACATGAATGTGAAGGGTTTAGAGGGATATGTGCTAAATGTCTGGCAAATTGGAGTAGGTCAGAAAGTACACACCTATTGAACGAGAAACTGGTGTGGTGTGATTTCTGACCTTGTCCACCCCAGTCCAACACCGGCACCTCCACAAGTTGTACTAAATCAGTTTAGGATATCTGGTCATTACGGGTGAGTTGGACCAAGGGGTCCATTTCTGTGATCTACAACTCTGACAGGATTTCATTCTCCAACAAGCCAAAGGGTGTGGTGTTGAGATTGTACAAACATTTAGTTTTCTTATCAGAGGAAGTGTGAATGGTCCAAATGTTGCTGTTGTAAGTTCAATAAGTGAAATGGGGAATGGATCCAAAATAGGAGCAGAGGTTACAATCAAAAAATGTAAATCTGAGCCAGAAATACCCAGTTGAATGGTGAGGCGGTATCTCTAAACCAAAGATTTAGGCATCACTGGGAAAAGTCAAGACTAAAAGATGAGAATGGGAAAAAGCTGAACAATTAAAATTGCAGCGTCACACTTGCAGATCTGAATAGTGCGTCCAGGAAGAAAAACACCATAAGCAGCGAATATATTGAGGGAATACCTGATCAGATCCCCAAAGAAAGCAGTGGAAGCGGTTATTCAACATTTTGTACTTGTTTGCTACTGAGTAAATTGTGCCTGTGTTCTGCATGCCAACTCCATCAACCCACCTTTGCCCCAGAGCCTTTCGATAGATTTACTTAACAAGATCTATCAACCGTAGCTTTAAAATTTATAGTGATCAGTAGATCCAGCATCAACTTCTTTTTGCAAAGAGAATTCCAATATCTTGATTTCGGTATCTTGAAAATTTTGTTCATTCTCTCCTTGACCTTCTAAGACGAAGCATCTTAAATTATGTGTGTGTCTGTGTGTCCTCCCTCATGATACCTGGACTTCAAAGGTTAAATTATAATTTGGTGAATCTGCACTGCATTTCTTTCATATCATTTATTATGTAGGTGATGCAGAACAGCTCTCAGTACTCCAGGTATGGGCTAACCAAGACTTTGTTTAGTTGAACCATGATTTCTTTGCCTTAATGTTATAATCCTCTACGTGTAAAGCCCAGCATTCTGATATACTTGTTGATTATTTTCTGTACCTGTTTGTGATATTTTAATGATCTGAATGCCTGGACCTGCACCATTCTTAACTTTCTATCACTTAGACAGTGCTCTGTTCTGTCCTTTTTAGGTACAAAGTGGCTGACCCCATGTTTCTCTGCGTTGAAAGCCATTTGCCCCAGTTTTTCCTGTTCCTTAATCCGCCAGCATTCCATTGTAGTTTTATGCATCTGTCATCTCTGATTGCAATACCATGTATCTTTGAAAGATTTGGGAATTTGCTTTCCATTCTGTTGTAAATATGGTGAATTGTTGAGGCTCCAACAAAAGTTTTTGCAGACCACCACGACAGTGAGGAGTGGTCTCTGTTAAATAATTGGGTTTGCAGGCATACGGATACTAAGTAAGTAGCCTTGTAGTTAGAGGTCACCATCTTAACAGAAATTTTACCATGAAAGTTGCTTTATTTTTAGTTTATTCTTTCATGGGATGTGGGTGTTGTTGGCTTAAGCAGCATTTATTGCCTATCCTTTGAATTGAAAGCTTTGCTAGGGCCTTTTCAGAGGGCAGTTAGGAGTTGACCACATTGACTGCATAATAGGACAGACCAGGTAAGGATGGCAGAGTTCCTTCCCTAAAGGATTTTAGTGATGTAGATAGGTCTTTACAACAATCAATGGTAGTTTCATGGTCACCATCACTAAGACTAGTTTTATATTCTGGATTTACAAATTTAATTTTAATACATTAATAAGAGATTTGAACTCTTGATCACTGTCACTCCACAGTGGTAACAGGACTGTTTTCTTAATGGCTTCAGGAGTAGAGTCACCACACGTATGTGTACAATGGGATTGAAGTCCCACAAAACATGTTTTAACTTTTAACATAGATTCATAGAATTCCTACAGTGAGTCTGAATGTCATGGGGTAATTTGGACAGAGCAATAAATGCTTACTGCTGTTGCTGTCATTATTAGTCCCTAATAATGAATGGTGTTTGAGATGCGCTTTAAACAGAACTGGTATGTGTGGCAACTGACTGAGATAGGTGCTTTTTTCTTGTTTTTGTTTGAGTTGGTAAAATATTGTATCTGGCAGCAAATGTAAATCATCCAGACAGCGTCATGACATTTTATTGATTTCTAATTTGTCCTACACATCAGTGTTTGTGTCTGGGATGAATTGGGATCTAGCTCAACCTGAAGTGCAGAGTGTAAAGTGCCTGTGTTTTATAGGATGTCTGAATCTTCACGGAAATGAAAACCATATGGCCACATTTAGAAATAGCGTACTTCATTAGACGTGGTAGACTGAGAGACCGGGTCTAAGTTGAGAGTGAGACGTCTTTGGTGATTGCAACATCCAATTGCAATGCAGGCAGCGTCTGATACTCATTGACCCCTTTTGTGTATCTATCTGCATTTTGTAAGCAAGCTGATGACTGTACATGGTGTCAGTGATATGAAAGCTAACTGTCTGTATGTTATGATTTTATATGTCTGAATCCAGCCATTGCATACACTTGCTGTAAGCTTTCAATTTTGAAATGCTTCATGCACTTTACATAAGTATTTACATATAAACATGTTTGTTATGATCATAGCTGACAATTGTGTATAGATAAAGTTTATTTTTAAAGTTGAATAAATCTGAGTAACTTCAAGACCAATTATGGGAGCCTTAAAACAAGGACCGACTTGCTTACCCTATCCTAAATATCTCTTGTTCTACAACAGGATTACTTCAGGATTATATCACATCTCAGCTCAGCATAGGGTACTGAGCAATGTGCATGTTATACGTACCTAGTTCAGACTTATGTTAAGCATGTCATATAAACATCTATTGTGTTAAATCTATTTTAATATACATATGTCAGACTTGCCTGTGACTAATTACTGTAAGTTCCGAGCTTAGCCTGCCACATAGCTTATTGTTGCTTGTCTTTGGCCAGTTCTTGCCATGTAACTCAATACCAGTGGCTTCCTGAATTGTACTCCCTTGATTAGTTTCACTGGCTGCTCACTCTTGACCTGTTGGGAATGGCTGGCATAATGAATGAGTTCATTTTAAGAAGTTATTGTATCTTTTCGAGTGCTGTGCTGCCCTGCCCTGCTCTTGCCTCGTTCTTCTTTGCTTCACCTGTCATTCCTCAGCATGTTTCTGAGGGTTTTTAATTCTATTTTGTTACAAATAATATTAAGTAAAACATTAACATCTTATGTTTTTGTAATTCTTCCCTGTCCTTTAATGAGGTTTCATATTTCATATTTGATGAAAGATTGCAGTGTTCCTGATCTGGCATAGATATGATGGGCTGAATAGCCTCTATCTGTGCTGTAATCTTTCTATGATTCTCTATTTGTGTGTCACCTGAGTTTGAGATGAAATAATTCCTTGAGTAAATCTTTTGAGCAGTACTCTTGAGGTGTCTCTCACGAATGTTCAGCCCGAATCTTAACTAGTTAATCATCGGGCTGCAACGGATGTGAAGAATCAGCTTCCCAGGCAAGACATTGTGAGAGAATTAAAAAGAAACTGCTATAGTAGTAAAACTGTAACTGTTAAATAAGGAAATTTAGATAACATCTGACTGTAAACTGCTGCTTGTCATTTTAACAAATTTTCTCACTTTGGGCACTGAAATTACCTCTGGCCTGGAAGTAGCTATCTGATAGCCACTTGATTGCCTGCTAACCAAAAATGCTCCCGCTGTAGCCCAGTCCATTATTCAATAAGTTGCATGTTGAGTATTTTTGGGGGCAGTATTTTAAGGAGTACTGGCATGATGTGGTACCTCCCCACAAATGTATATAGTTGGATGCTGAGATTATGATTTACAGTCTGGTTATAGTCGCTTAACGCTTAACACCAACCACCTGTGCTGTTCAGCTCAACTTTCTGTATCATAATTAGATACAGAGTACAGTTTCCCCCCACCACATTTCCAAAGGACACAGAGTGCTCTACCTGTTCCAGCCTGAGGTGATCCAGTTTGCTGTAGTTTGAGAATAAGCCAAAGGCAGTATTGAAATGACAACTCACACTATGACTCATAGTGCCTCTAACTCCTCTCCATTCTCAGACCAAGTCTGTAACTGTTTTTCTCATGGGGTAACCGGTGAGCATCCTTACCTTCATGTATTGTTTTCTGCAAGTTGTCTCAAATTACGCAGTTCTGAATTGGACATCTGATGTCTGTCTTTGTGCTCATAGACTATCCTAATGCTAGGCTGTATTACTCCATTGTGCTTTTGGATTAACAAAGGCTTAAAACATACCTCCTTTTGTTTTTCAGTGGCTAAAAGCAAGGATTAGTTACTTGGAAGGGTTGTTCAGACTTGCAGAATTTAGAGCGTTGGTTTGCATTTTCTGTGTGAAACTCTGTGCCCTTGAGCTTTAGGCAAACGAAGGATAGCCTGTGAACATACACGTCACTGGTTTCTTTGCTATGTGCTCACGTGCTGTCCCTGGGATCATCTTGTCCACGAGGCCCACTTCCTGCCCCCTTCACTGTTCTGTGTCCTGACTCCTAACTTATCTGGTAGTATTAACAGTTCCCTCTCATTGGATGCTGATCTCTCCTTCATCACTGACCTCAAAATGCCCATCCTTGACAC